TTTGGGTCCCCCGACCCGAAGATCTGCACAAAGACCAGCTGCACCATGGCAGGCGGCAGCACCAAGACCTTGGCACATGGCACCCTTGAGTTGGGGGCGTGGAAAAGCGAAGGGACCTCACCCATTTTTTTGGATTTCACACAAATCGATGGGCCACTTCTGGCTGGCCCTTCAAATCCCATCTAAAAGGTTGCTCTCCATGCATTGTGTGAGTTTCACGCTTTGTTCTTTTTGAAAACTAAACTGGCGTCTTTGCCGGTACGCACATGCCACGACCTCCTCGCGCCCCCGCTGAAAAGCACGCTGAAAAGGGCTAAAGCTCGCAAACAATCTCAACTCTTGATTGTGTCATGCACCTTCCATCGCGCTGGTGCTCATGGAATCAATGAAATCGCGAATGGGAATTGAATCGTCGAGTCCCTCAAGAAAAGCCACCAGTTTGATGGTTCCGTTCGCGGCTCATTCCAACTCGGTGGAATTGCGCCAGCTTTTCCATCCACCTGTGAGGAGAACGCGACCTAGGTTCGGTCTCAAGCACAACCAACAAGGGGCGCCCTCAAACAGGCCAAACCAATAATATTTGCTCGGGACACTCAACCTTGATGAGAGCCACCGAACTGTGCGCCATGGGCAAAATCTACTCATGTGCCAGGGTTGCAGTCGTTGAACTCCCTGACAATAGCCTGCTGTGGGCCCTCCCCCCGAGAAAACATCCTCAGCCACTCTCTTCAGGCCGTCTTGAAAGGAACCACCGCTTGCGCCGGGTCATAGTCATCCCCCTTAACATGGGAATGCGTGCCATCTGCGTTCACCCTGCCTCTGCCTAGATTGCACCTACCCATCCCCTGTCCGTTTGGGGAGATTAGCTTCTGCAGGCCATTCAGCATCCAGGCATCCCGAAACTGACAGACTCGGCACCCAACTGAATGGATTCCTCTTGTGCCTTTCAAACCGCGCAGCAAAAGGCAAAAGGTGAATCCCACAAAAGTTCCCCCCTGCCCCCCCCCCCCACCAGCACAAAACAGCCCCCGCCCAGCTAATACAAGGGAATGACTACACTATTCTCTTATGATTGTGTATGACCCAAAAAGGCTTCAAAGACCCACCTCAATAGAAATATTGATCGGCGCTCTCCCCATTCTTTCCAGCTGGCATGGTTGAAAAGATGGACAAGGAAACACACCTAGACATGGGCATGCAGCAAAATAGCTGTATCCTCAAAATGGCGCTCCTTTCGATCTTCCCTTTAAACCGACCTGAAAAGGGAACGGCGCCCCAGAAGTATACGCCACACCCTCTACGTTCATTCCCCAAAAACGGCGTCCAGCCGGGACTTTTTCCCCAAAGCCTCCCGGCCAGGTCCGCGAGAAAGCCGGAGAGCACAAAGGTGGCCAGAGGCATCCCTGCGATGGCCTAGCGGAGCAGACGGGCGTCTTGAACCAAATGGGAGATGGAACCCCCCAAAAAAGGGCCGATGTTTTCGTGGCCTCTCTTTAAACGAACCTCAAAAAGTGTTGACATGGGAAAATTGGGGCTGGGGATTGTTTGCAGGTTTGGAATGTCCCCCCCGCCCGGATTGTCATTTCATTCACATTGTCAGTGACTCATACGGGGAGGAGGTTGATGAGAGGCCCAGGTGTAGGTGTAGCTTCATTTGAAAACCAAAAAACAACTTCCCAAAAAAGTTGAACCACACCCTATCCTCGCTTCCTGAGTGGATTGGCCAAAACAAGTCTAAACTTTTATACTAGCCACTAAAATAGTCTTCCCAAAAAGTTGTGCCAGCCCGGTTGATTCATTCCTCCGGTTTTCCACATCTATTTGCCACTAAAATCTGGGCTGCCCTCAGATCCCTCGCTAAAAGTTCAACCTTTAGCGGGTTAAATGGCAAATCCCCGCTAAAAACGCTAAAAAAACAACTAAGGAACCGGATGGCCGGCAGCCACCAAGACACGAGCGACCTGCAGATCCGCCTGCTGCCGCACCGCGCCGCAGCAGCAGCCCTGGGCCGCCTCCACCGCCAGACCCGCCGGCAGGAAGGCGATGCCTCAAGGCTTCCGCTCGTCCGACTCGAGCTGACTCGAGACTTGCTGCGAGATCGGTAGGGAATGAGACATGGAATGAACGGGGCCAAGGATTCCCGAATAAAGTATGTAAGCCACCAGTTGGATGGCTTTTTTGGGGGGGTCATTCTGCAATAGGTGGGATAGGTACTGTGGATGGTTGCGAAATCCTCTTAGGCACCACCTAATAAACCCTACGAGTAGAAGGTTGATTCCCCTGTAAATACCAACAAACAATGGTTTCAACCATGGTTTCAAAGTGGTGCAGGATTTCGTCCATCCACAGTAGGGAACGAGAAATGGAATGAACATAGGTGTCTTTTTACGGGCAATAGTAGATGATTAAGCCACCAGGTAAACCAGGGCCATCTATTTTTCGACCAAAACAACCAAAAAGGACACCAAGTAAACCAACAGTTGGATGGTTTATACGGGTCATTCTAGTTCTCATTCCCTGCTGAGCACCGGCAAGTCTTTTGGGGCGAAACGCAGTCGGAGAAATCTACCTACATGGTGGTTTGTAGGTGGCCGACTAAACAGGTTAACCCCTCTTGCGCTTGAAAACACTTGCAACCACCTGTTCGAGGGTACTTGTGGTTGCTGTTCCCAACCTCCAAGTGGTGACTCAAGACTTTGACCTACTTGGATGTTGAACCCACGGTAGGGGGGCTAGGACCATGGCTACATGTCCAACAACCCCCCTCTTTTCCCAGTATAAACATGGTTGCAACCTACTAAACAAGTGGCTTGAGCATCCAAGTACCCTCCAAGACCACCTCACGTTGGCCCCAAAAAAGTCAAGATCCCTGGACCAAACCAAAGGGCGCTGAAAGAGCCATGTTCCGGGCAACTTTGGCTGACGTCAAGAAAAGTGTGAATCAAAAGGAGCTTATAGCGATGGTTATGTGTCTGCCATGGTGAGGTGCGCGGGGTCAAACATCCCCCGGCCAAAAACCGGGTTTGTTTTGCTCCTGGCCAATCTTTGGTGAACCTTATGCACAAACCAACACGTGACCCGGGGAAAAAGAAGAAGAGAAAGCAGCAAAGAAAACATCAAGGGAGCAACAAACACGATCACCTAAAGAGTCTTCCAGTACCCCTCGGGTGGGTGTGGCTCAAAATTAAACAGGAGGGGTTACGCATGTGTTGGCCCATTTTTCCACTTACCGATTGGGCAACCCATTTTGGATTTATCTTCTTTTTTTTTGAGCCACAGCCGGGCGTGAGAGCTTCAAGCCAAACCAAGGTCAACGTCACACTCCTCGGGGCCCAAGCCCAAGAGCGCCATGGAGAAGAAGGACCTAAGCCGACGACCGCCCTTGTCGGTTCGCTCGCTGCGAATTGGTCGGGGCGAAACCCCAAACATATGAGACCCTGAAAAATGTGAGGCCATGAATTGCAGAACCAAAGGGGCATATGGCCATGGGTTGCATAACCTATGGCGATCCCATTTTGGGGTGGATGAACATCCATTTGCCACCTATTTTGATGTTCACCAGGGTACAGGGTTTGCCCCACAAATATGGGACCCCAAAAAAGTGTCTCAAAATATGGGACCTCGACATTTGCCGGGTGTCCAAATGAGTTTACCCGTTATACCAACTAAAAGCACAGGGAGGTTGTTGGAGGGAGGCACCCTTTCTCGGCGCTGAGCAGAGATTGCTTGGGGCTCGCCTCGAAACAGAAACCTTCTGAAGTTCCCTCCTAGTTTTTTAGAACATGTTCTTGCATGTTCAACTGTTCAACTAGACCCTCCCAGAAGAATGTGTGAAGCCATCGGGCTGTGATTGCGTGGCCGTGATTCGAGTCGCCTCATGGCACTGGAAGCATTGGGTGAGATACCGCTGCAACTCGTGGGCAAACTGGGGCAAACTGGGGCACCCCTGTGTCACGCGCCCGCAACTCATGGTTCAGGTGCGCTTTTGGATGGTAACACGCAAGCCAAGGAATCCCTGCACTTGCCCACGAACCTGACAAGCCGAAAGACACAACCAATTCCAAGACCCATTCCCAGTGGTTCTTCCCATCAACGCCATGGTTGGAAGAGAAACACGGGACTGCCGGAAAATCCAGCCACAAAGTCTGCCGCGCCTAGTCCCAAAATGAGAGGATGGATTTTCCGGCAGTCCCGTGTTTCTCTTCCAACCATGGCGTTGATGGGAAGAACCACTGGGAATGGGTCTTGGAATTGGTTGTATCTTTCGGCTTGTCAGGTTCGTGGGCAAGTGCAGGGATTCCCAGCATGGGCAACCAATCTAATGCAACTATACTCTTGGCGTGTTCAAAAGAGGGGCATGAGACCAGGGCACAGCATTCCGGGCATTTTTAAAACCGCCGAGCATTTGTCGGTTCAACACACAGACGCGCCTCCAGACCATTGGACCACCGGCCCGCTGGTCGGCCGCGCGCCCCGTTCCACCGACCCGGCGATTCGTCGATGCGCAAGCGCGACCGTGCGTCGAGCATCAGCCCTGGCTCCGGACTCAGTCATCGCGCATGGGTTGCCAGATTTCTTATATGTGTACTTTGAACATCACCAAACCAAACGAAGATCCAATTTCCGTTGGCCCAAGAGGTCACGTGTAAGACTTCCCAAAAAAGTAAAGGACATTGGGTTGCATGCAAATGGGGCTGGCTTGCCCCCTAACAGGACTGCCCAAACAATGCCTAAACGATCTCAAATCTCATGCAAATCCTGTGATGTATATCTAAATACATATAGACGGGAAAAAAAACTTATATATATATATATGTGTGTGTTTGATCTGCTTGCTTATTGAGAAGAGTAGATTGCATGCTCCACGTCTACTATGTTACACTTTTTCCCTACACCCTCTGAACCAAGGGGTCCCTTTTACCGATCAACCACTCGATGCCCAAATCCGAAGCACGGGCCTGTGCTCAGACCTGCCCCAAGAGTGGGCTAAACTGGGTCCACCAAAGCGACATTGGCAACAACATGTCCTTTGCCTGAGTCCTGGTTTCAAAGGAATGTTGGAGAGCAGTTTGGTTTAAAAGTCCATCGAAATGCTTCGCTTGAACGGACCCAGCTAAGTGGGGGTTCGGCTGTACATCCCCCGTCACCTCGCTTGGCGTTTTCTTCTGCGGTCAGAGTCGGCGAGTCAGGGGCAGAGAAGCGGCTCGCCTCGGGTCTGGGGGCCGGAGGGAGCTTAGTTGAGATGACTGTTGAACATAGAAATGGAAAAATTGAAGGACATGTACGAAGACTTTTAAGAAAGGCAAAGATTGATTTCGTTAGATGGGATAAGTTGCATGAAATTTCAAAATGGGGTGGTCCAACATGGGAATGCAACAATCAGAGCCTGATTGTAAATGTCCATACATGAACCCGGGGCCACCCTGGACCAGTGCCCAAATTCGGGGTCCGGGAACCTTTGGGGGAAACACACTCAATGGAGCAGCATGCATCGCACATGTGCCTCGACCTTATGCGTCCTGCGTTTGGCCCAAACGTGCTCTGTTTGGTCTTATTTGGCCATGGGTCAAAATCCCGTACCCCCAGTGAACATCCCAATCCCCACTAAAATCGACTAAAATGGGTGGTGCACCTACCCCAAAATGGGATACCATTGGTTTTGACAACCACAGCCATTTGAAGGGAGAAAAGTCGGCCCATTTGGCAGGGCGGCGCTGGGCTGCAAGGACCGCCGTGCTGGTCTCCGCCAGGGGGGAGACCAAATTTTCCGCGTCCGCCTCGATGCTCTGAAACTCCCTGGGCAATTGGACCGTTCCCTGGCTCATTCCTGTCACGTTCTGTCTCTAAGAGTTACTCTGTTGGGTCACAGTAGTAACAGCCAGGATGGGATGGCTCTGCATCCTGCTTTCATTCCCTTCCTCATTCTATACTCTCTGGGCCAAAAAACCGTGACGTCCGGCGGATGGCTGGGTGTAAGTATTGAAGCTCTCTCGAAAGGAGTGACAGTCTCAGGCAGTATTGCTCATCGCTCTGAGGTCAGGCTTGTATTGCTCGTTGTGGGCAACAAGGGCGCGACATGGAATTGGTTGCACTGGCTGAAATCACGAGAGAAGAGCCGTCCAGCATCTTAGGACTCCCATGACCAGCCATCGGCCAGTTCTAGGCGCGGGCCGGAACACCCTCGCGCTGAGTCTGAAAGCTTATGTTTGTCAAAAACTGGTACAGCAACTTCCCCGTCCAGCCCGAATGTGCACCTGAAACCCGTCAAAAGAGTTCTCCAAACGGGGTTCAGCAAAATTGACATCCCGGGCAAGCGGACAAATCCTGGCCGAAGCGCAAGTGCCTATGCCTATGCTCCCAAAGCCGGTGCCCATTCCAATAACAACTCAGGATGAAACTCATGCCTCGATCTCAGCAGACCAACGTACGCAGATCCAGACAGGACCCGTGTGTTGTACAACTACCAAGCCGCATGGTTGACCCCAACACCCCTGTGCGCAAGCCACCAAGTGCCAAATGCGGCGGCAGCTAGGAAACGCCACGTTGTATCTATATGCGGGTGTCCTTTCTCTTTTATATTCTGAGTATGTCCTTTTGTGTGTCTCTTTTTTGGGGGGGTCTTTTACTTGGCGTTAAAAGGGAAGCCAAAGGGGTTCCAGCCCAAGTATTCGCGGTCACACAACTTGGCCGAGCTACTTCTGCAGCTGATCTGTGGGAGTTGCGTGGACCATGATCGAGACGTCCTGAGAAGATGCCACGGGAGGCTTGCCTCAAAATGGAGGAATTCCAACAAAATGTGTAGGGCATTCCTCAAAATAGGGGAATCCCTAAAATTCTCCCAGAATCCAAAAAAAGTCTTTTCCCGCATCCAACCCAAAAACATGTGTGCTGAGAACCACAAACCCATGGGATCTGCTGCCTTGCGCTTCAAGAGCTCCTCGGCCCCATGCCACTCCCCTTGCTCCATATCCCTCGGCTGGTTTCATTTAGCTTCCCATTGACCTTGAGCCGCACAGCAGCCCAGTTCCGACACGTGAGGTGTTGAAGCTTGCCCTTTGGCCCAGATTTGACCCCTCGCTTCTCGCATGCGAAGCTCCCAAGACTACCTCAGCGCTTGCCCCGCAACCCTGAATCCTACGGGTATGTTTGCTGTTTGTCCAAAACTTGGTGAACTTCGACGTCAAATGACTGTGGGTCAAAATTATGTACCCAAAACGGGTTACCCTGGTAAGTGGAAACATGGACACCCCTCCAGTGTAATTTTGAGCCACAGCCAGATCCGTCTTGTCCAAACATTCTCTACACTTCTCCCTGATCTTGAAACAGAAGCACGGCAGCGTGCTTTTACACGCTTTGGCTACGTCGGGCGCAAAATAGGCCGTTGCAAACTGCGCGGCAAGCACATGTGACAGTGCGGTAGGGGCAGCACTGGCCCACGTGCATCATAGAGGCACAACATAGCAGGCCAAGCTGATACGCTCCACAAGCTTCGTTCGTGGCTCAAGCAATGCAAGGGCTGCAGCGCCGGGCAGTGGCTCGACGGGTGTTGCCACAATCAGGCACCTGAATCCGAGACCCGAACCAACATCCGCCACCCAAATCCGGGGCCCGAACCAACATCTGGAACTCGACTCCGGGACCCGAATCCAGGACCCAAATAAACATCCAGAACCTAAATCCGGGACACGAATTAACATCCGGGACCCAAATCCGCGACCCGAACCAACATCGGGACCCGAATCCGGGGCCCGAATCCGGAGCCGAATCAACATCCGGAACCGAAATCCGGGACCCAAACCAACATCCGGGACTCGAATCCGGGTCCCGAATCCGGGACCCAAATCAACATCCAGAACCCAAATCCGGGACACGAATTAACATCCGGGACCCAAATCCGCGACCCGAACCAACATCGGGACCCGAATCCGGGGCCCGAATCCGGAGCCGAATCAACATCCGGAACCGAAATCCGGGACCCAAACCAACATCCGGGACTCGAATCCGGGTCCCGAATCCGGGACCCAAATCAACATCCAGAACCCAAATCCGGGACACGAATTAACATCCGGGACCCAAATCCGCGACCCGAACCAACATCGGGACCCGAATCCGGGGCCCGAATCCGGAGCCGAATCAACATCCGGAACCGAAATCCGGGACCCAAACCAACATCCGGGACTCGAATCCGGGTCCCGAATCCGGGACCCAAATCAACATCCAGAACCCAAATCCGGGACACGAATCAACATCCGGTACCCAAATCCGGGGCCCGAATCCGGGCCCCAAACAACATCCCTTACCTGAACCAACATCCGGAACCTGAATCCGGCACCCGAATCCGGCACTCGAATCAACATCCAGGACCCGAATCCGGGACCCATATCCGGGATCCGAGCCAGCCCGAAGGAGCCGAATCCGGGACCCGAATGCGGCACCCGGGACCCGAATCCGGGACATCTCGTGACAGCATCCAGCCCAGCCAGCGCGTGTGGGGAGACAAAGAGCTGACCGAGCCAGACCAGCTCGCAACAGCATCCAGCCCAGCAAGCGCGTGAGGAAACAAGTGGGGAGACAAAAGGAAACAAGTGGGGAGACAAAGAGCTGACCGAGCCAGACCATCTTATGACAGCATCCAGCCCAGCCAGCGCGTGAGGAAACAAGTGGGGAGACAAAGAGCTGACCTAGCCAGACCACCTCGTAACAGCATCAAGCCCGAGCTGACAGAGCCAGACCATCTTATGACAGCATCCAGCCCAGCCAGCGCGTGAGGAAACAAGTGAGGAGACAAAGAGCTGACCTAGCCAGACCATCTCGTGACAGCATCAAGCCCAGCAAGCGCAAGGACACAAGTGGGGAGACAAAGGGAAACACAAAGAGCTGACCGAGCCAGACCATCTCGTGACAGCATCCAGCCCAGCAAGCGCGTGGGGAAACCAGCGGGGAGACAAAAGGAAACACGTGGGGAGACAAAGAGCTGACCAAGCCAGACCATCTCGTGACAGCATCCAGCCCAGCAAGCGCGTGAGGAAACAAGTGGGGAGACAAAGAGAGCTGACCGAGCCAGACCATCTCGTGACAGCATCCAGCCCAACCAGACCATCTCGCGACAGCATCCAGCCCAGCAAGCGCATGAGGAAACAAGTGGGGAGACAAAAGGAAACAAGTGGGGAGACAAAGAGCTGACCGAGCCAGACCATCGCGTGACAGCATCCAGCCCAACCAGACCATCTCGCGACAGCATCCAGCCCAGCAAGCGCATGAGGAAACAAGTGGGGAGACAAACGGAAACAAGTGGGGAGACAAAGAGCCGACCGAGCCAGACCATCTTATGACAGCATCCAGCCCAGCCAGCGCGTGAGGAAACAAGTGAGGAGACAAAGAGCTGACCTAGCCAGACCATCTCGTGACAGCATCCAGCCCAGCAAGCGCAAGGACACAAGTGGGGAGACAAAGGGAAACACAAAGAGCTGACCGAGCCAGACCATCTCGTGACAGCATCCAGCCCAGCAAGCGCGTGGGGAATCCAGTGGGGAGACAAAAGGAAACACGTGGGGAGACAAAGAGCTGACCAAGCCAGACCATCTCGTGACAGCAGCCAGCTCAGCAAGCGCCTGAGGAAGCAAGTGGGGAGACAAAGAGCTGACCGAGCCAGACCATCTCGTGACAGCATCCAGCCCAGCAAGCGCGTGAGGAAACAAGTGGGGAGACAAAGAGCTGGAGACAAAGAACTAACTGAGGAAACAAGCCGGGAGACAAGGCCAGACCATCTCGTGACAGCATCAATTCTTAGTAAGAATTAAGAACCCCAACAGTAAACTGTTTGGGGAAAAAACGAAAAACAGGAAACAAACTCCAACTCGCGTTCCAAGGCTCGGAGGCCACGCAGTTGAAGATCTCCACCCGGGGCAGGTAACCCTTTTGGCCAGCTGCATGGCGGCCTGGGCCCAGCGGTTTGACTGGAGGCGAGTTTCGCCTTCAGCAGTGGACCTGGTCGACTCACCGATAGATGAGTGAAGCCGCAACTGCTTGGTTGCTAAAGTTTAACTTTTGGGGGGTTTAGTGGAAAACCCCTTGATTTCCCAAAAAGTTAAAGTCTAAAGATCCAACCTTGGGACTAACGTGGGCCTGTTTATCTGTTAGCAAGGGGGCAGGGGCAGGGACTATTGGAGACTATTTATAAACAAACGAGAAGCTATTTGAGACTATTTCTAAATAAACGAGACGCTATTTGAGACTATTTGTAAACAAACAAGACGCTATTTGAGACTATTTATGAATAGAGGACCAGCTGGTGAAACTATTTCTACATGAAAGGGAAACTCCCATAAAAGATCAGCTCTGTGAGATGTTTCTGAGATCAAAGGAAACTATATGTGACTTATATCAAGGGGAACCTGTGTGAAACTGTTTATGAGTCAAAGGGAAAGTGTGTGAGACTATGTGCAAGTCAAACAGAAGCCATGTGAGACTTTACGAATCAAAGAGCAACTATGTGAGACTATTCGCACATGTGCTGCGAGGCTACCAATAACAAACACTGAGATCTGCAATGAGGCTGTTTCTCACCTGGGAAACTTCATCCGAACAAGCGGGGGGGAAGGTCTTAGGCCAAAATCGGGGCGAAAGGGAAGTGGTGATAGTGGTGATAGTGGATTCCAACCCAATAGCAGTCAAGACTGCAACTGCTTACTTGCGGCAGCCCTGATGTCTCATACAAACACATGCAAATGACAAGACCAAGTAGCGACCAACCCTCGACCTTCAACCTCGAGAAATTATTGCTGTCGTCACCGTCCGAACGGTGAAGTGGCGTTCTAGATCAAACATAGCCTCTTCCCTCAATGCTATACCCTTGAAGAGAATGAACATCCTCTCCGAAACGTGTCCTCCGTTGGAGTTTGGGTTGTGGAATAATATTGCAAAATACTTGTCTAAGGCCACTGAAAACTCCGTTGACCCCATCTTGGGCTTGGACGCTGCGTATGAATGTTGTTGGACACCAGCTGCATGTAGTACCTCTGCGGTTTGCCGAGGGGGTACATGTTCAAGCACGTTTCAAGTTTACATCCCAGCAGCAAGATGTTGCCTGCCTTCAACAAAACGGCGTACCTTCAAACAACAATACACATGTCATCCTCTTCACTGCCATGGCTGGTGAAAAATCTCTGCCGCTCGCCCCTGTCTTCCTGGGTGTGCGTTGCACAGCGCTCTTGGCTTCACCCTAACCCTTGACTCACAACACTTTGGAAAGCGAAATCCACTGTGGAGTGCACCTGCTGGTTCCTTCTTTTCAGCACTGGCGCAGTCCATGTTACACACCCAGATTCAAGCGCAGCTGCTCTTCCTGCTGGTTGCTGTCTCCGCCAAACTCTGCATGACCCCATGTCACAACAGCCCCAGATTCAAGAATGGCAACAAAAGCACCGCCAGTTGCTTGGATGTGCTGGACGTTCCTCAGCTGCTGTTGCATGTGGCTGCTGTCTCCGCCCCTGTCTGCAATACCCCAGGTCACAACGGCGCCAGATTCAAGAATGGCAGCCAACGTTAGTTGCTTGAATGTGATGGACGTTTCTCAGCTGATCTTGCACCTGACTGCTGTCTCCACCAAAGTCCGGACGGCCCCAGGTCACAAAGCCACAGATTCAAGAATGGCAGCAAAAGCAAAGCCAGTTGCTTGGATGTGCTTGACGTTTCTCAGCTGATCTTGCACCTGACTGCTGTCTCCACCAAAGTCCGGACGGCCCCAGGTCACAACAGCCCCAGATTCAAGAATGGCAGCAAAAGCAAAGCCAGTTGCTTGGATGTCCTTGACGTTCCTCAGCTGCTCTTGCACCTGGCTGCTGTCTCCTCCGCATTCTGGACCACCCCAGGACACAACAGCACCAGATTCAAGAATGGCAGCACAAGCACCACTGCCAGTTGATTGGATGTGCTTGACCTTCCTCAGCTGCTCTTGCACTTGGCTGCTGTCTCCACCGTATCCTGGATGACCCCAGGTCACAACAGCACCCGATTCCAGAATGGCAGCAAAAGCACAGCGAGTTGCTTGGATGTGCTGGACGTTCCTTAGCTGCTCTTGCACCTGGCTGCTGTCTCCGCCGTATTCTGGATCACCCCAGGTCACAACAGCACCAGATTCAAGAATGGCAGCAAAAGCATGGTCATTTGATTGAATGTGCTGGACGCAGCTGCTCCTGCACCTGGCTGCTGTCTCCACCAAAGCTTGGATTACCCCAGGTCACAACAGCAACAGATTCAAGAATGGCAGCAAAAGCAAAGCCAGTTGATTGGATGTGCTTGACCTTCCTCAGCTGCTCTTGCACTTGGCTGCTGTCTCCGCCGTATTCTGGATCACCCCAGGTCACAACAGCACCAGATTCAAGAATGGCAGCAAAAGCATGGTCATTTGATTGAATATGCTGGACGTTCCTCAGCTGCTCCTGCACCTGGCTGCTGTCTCCGACGTGTTTACCCCAGGACACAACCTCACCCCCGCGGCCATGCACGGCAAACGCCTGCCAAGTGCCAGCCAACTTGCCCAGCTGCACAATCGCATCTACTACGTCCCCATCTCGCAGCCCGGCCTCGCTCAGTGTTGCCCTGAAATCGAGCTGCCGCCCTTTCGCAGTAAGCTTCAAACGGCGCTGAACATGCTGCTGTGCTGCAGCCGTCAGCTTGCTGACGGGCATTTCCGGAAAGACTTCTATGGAGCAACCATGTCCGCTGGGCAAGTGAACATCCACCTTCATGGAGCAGGATGATTCTGCTGGCTCCATTCGAGTCGCACACGAATCTACGACATCAAACATGCGTGTAAACTGGGGTGTCCCGTGTCCTGTGCCCAATGTCCGTATGAACGTTTGTCCTGTGCACCGGCCTGAGATGTCCCGATATCGGGTGTATAACAGGCGCGGAACCCCGATGTTTGCAAAAGGCCCTACTTCTGGGGTTCCCTTTGGCTGGAAAATCCGCAGGTCACATCTCCAACCGAATCCGTGCGGCTTCCGAATGGAGTTGGGAGCCTTCACAACATGGTGCCCCAAGAGTTGTCTTTTGGGGAGCCCAAAAGGGCGACCTATGCTGTGACCAACAGATTGGTCTAGGAGACATCCTCAAAACAGAACCGCCGCATTTGAGGTGCCGAACAAATGAAAAGCTCGCGCTTGCGCGGACCTTGCATTCAACACAGGCGCCCTGTGTTTCAGAAGAAACGTTGAGTCAAGATTGTCCACAGCAACTCCTCCGAACAGTGTCCTTTATCTCTCAACCTCCTGCATGTGGGAGTTGATCCAAACTAGGGACCGCGCCAAATGATCGGTTTCATTGTGGTTTTCTTAGGAAAACAAAGGGTCTCCAGTTCTTGATACATCACATAGGTGTGAGCCCAAAGCAGCGCAACTCATTCCAAAGGTTTCGTTCTGCTCCTTCTGGTGCCTGTTTCGAATCCTACCAGCGGGTTCCCATTTCGACACATTCCCAAATACTCTTTGGCAACTTTGGATTTCCGCACTTTGCGGGTCCCTCTTTGAAAAGTAACTTATTCAGCTCTAGGTCCTCTGCAGAGCGGACTTTTACTTGAGCGCATATATGGAGGAACAATTTATTACTCCTCCTTGCTGGTGGAGCAGCCCTCGTCGGCTGATCATGCAGCAAACTCCCAAGAACTCGTAGCGGAGCCTGGACCAGGGACCTTCAAGATCCAAGCAGTCCAAGCTGACCCTTGCTGCGCTCAACCAGGAAAACGTATCCTGATCTACGCAAAGCCTCTTCCATCTGTACACCAGGCACGCTCTTTGCAAGCATGTCGCTGCGCCTGCCTGGGACATGAATGACATTAAGGCGGTCCATTGCTACCCGTTCCTGGAGCCAGAGATATCTGGTCTGGATATGTCTGGCTTTACCTAATCCGATCCAATTCACAGTACCCTTCGCAGCAGTAGCGTCTGTTTTCACTACTACAGAAATGAACTTGAAAATCTTCGAACAAGGCTTGCAACCCTAGTCCTACTGATCCACCCTTCACCAGAGCGTAGTACTCTGGCTCGCCGGTTGATAGTGCAATCGTTGACTGCACGTTGCTCGCGTGCTTCAAAACATGTTCACCATACAAAGCGATCATACCCGTCGTCGACCTACGGGTAACTGCATCGCCCGCGTGGTCGGAATTGACCTGAACTCGCAGCTTCGACGGCTTAGCCTGTCTTGAAAACACTTGGCTTATATCCGGCTTCTTGACCAAATATCTGCATAGCCGCTTCAAGTCTTGCAGGGATGCCTCACTCAGTCGGTGCAACCATCTTCCTCGAAAGATTCTTCACAGCATGACTCACATCAGGCCTGTCCTGACTCAAATATGCTGCTCGCATGGCACACGACCGGTACATGGATGCCATGTCCTTCGGAAGAAGTGGGCTGTTGGCTTCCATCATCTGCACGTCCACAGACTTCTTCACGTCAGGTGTCTCCAGTCAGGTTCCAAGAAAATGGCACTCGATCCTTGGTGGACTCCACAACGAATCAAGCGATTCAAGAAGTGAACCTCCTTGTCGTCACTGACTTCGTCTCCCAAAGTTTCGAGCCATTTCAAGTTTGCGGACGCGGCCATAGGAGCTCGAGTTGGGGGAAGGCTCAAAACTCTGCAAAAAAACCCAGCATCTCGGCAGCGTCGGCAGCGTCGCCGCCTTGCAACCCCTGCGCGCATCGCCTGCGTCACCTGCGTCGCCCGCGTTTGCGCCGCGTTCGGAGCCAGCCTTCCCCGAACCAGTCTTGATGGGGCGGGCGCGCGCTCTCATCCATCGCCCACCCACCCAACCCACCCACCCCACCCACCCCACCCGCCCCACCACCCACTCGCCCACCCGCCCACCCGCCCAGCCACGCACCCACCCGTCCATCCATCCATCCATCCATCCAGCCATCCAGCCATCCATCCATCCCGCGCGGCGGACGTGCGAGCGTGCGGAACGGTCTAACTTCTGCCTTTCTGATGTTTGGCCGAACTGGTTTCACTTACAAGACGCACATTGTGGAGGCGTTTTAGGAAGTGCCGTTTTCCTTTTCGTTTCCAACGATTCCAAAGCAAGACATTATATATAGCCTCATATGCAGTCTTGAGGATATTGATCAAACGCTGTAGAGCTTCTCCATCTCCCAACGCCATGAAGTCATCCCCATGCACGATTACTCTGGTACCGTCAGGATGGCAGAAAACAGAACCATTGGAGCGAAGTTGTTGTCGATGAGAAGTTTCGTGTACCAAATAGCCGGTGCGTCCTGCGTACAATACATCGACTTCTTCAGCAAACCTACCATGCCAGGGGCATTCTCCTCTTCAGGCAACTCGATATAGATCTTCCGCTTAGGCGTCCCATACAAGTGAGCTCTGGAAATGTCCCAGAGTCCAATCTTCAGGGGTTTCCCCTTAGCGGAGACTTTCTCCGTTGCCCAGGCGTCAAGCTGAACAATAGGTTCTGCGGCAGTTTGTCCTCTGCCTTCTTGGCTGCCTTGATTTCTCGCACGACCAATCTTGATCTAAAGTTCGGGCGCGCTGGGTCCCCTTTATTGGTGTCTAGCCATCGCACGCCAATAGGCTTGCGTCCGCCGGTATCCTGGAGGCGCTGCTCCAGCGACCTTCTCGTACACACCTTGCTTGTGGAGATACTCCATCTCCAATCTTCACCTCAATGCCGCCGTTGACATCGTCCCAATATTCCTCTATGTCATCGGTCCTGAGGATGATTGCTCTAAAGCACTGAGCTGACCTGTCTGTACAAGGTAGTCTTCAGTTGTCCTCAGAACTGCCTTCACCAAAGCCAACGGGTACCGAGCAGCTGCTCGAGCAATACCGCGGATCAGATGAATGCGCCTGTGCCATGGTTTGGCACCTGTCTTGTTTGTGCATTCTCCTTGTAGCAAATCGGCCAACAACTTGTTGTTGGTCATCCATCCTGTCTCCTTTCTCACATACCCTGTGCCTTGGAGCCCTCGCCTGCCGGTGGACTCCCTAGACCATCGGCACATGGCGCCTCTCACGAGGTATACATCTTCCCGGTCAAAGAGTTCCTTGACCTCCGGGTCTTTCCACGAAGTAGCACTCCAAGGTGCCTCGTGCAGAAAATACCTTCCGGTGCAGCGCCTTGTCCATCCTCACTCGGCGCTGATCAGGACTGATCCTGTACTTGTTGACGAAACTGGTCGCATGGTGGACTACCAGTCAACAGGATCGGCTGGTTCTTGTCGATCAAAGCTTCAACTTGCTTCACATCTTCCGGACTCAGAAGAGCCCAATAAGATTCGTCCGGCTTCTGCTCCTCTAGGTCTATAGCATAGCCAGGCTTCAATCCAAACCTAGCTGCCTCTCCTGTGAACCTCTTCGGACTATACACCTCCATCACATCCACAGCACCCATCTCGCAGCAGAGAACCGTAATGGAGTTCACTTCCTCGTGCGTGATGTCCATCTTGTAGGCTTTGTAAGCTCGTTCAACTTTGCCTTCCATCATGTTCTTCACCATCGTTTTCAAACGACTCAGGCTCAGTCCACTCGCTTCCGAGGGCCTTGCCTGTTCGGTTGAAACTCCGGCTCCTGCAGCCGGCGTAGTGTCCTCTCTCAATTCTTCCGTAGTCACCTCTGCTGTCCGCTTCTCTCCTTGCGAGGGCTGGACGTTCAACTTAGGCCCAGGGCAAATGTTCAGTTCCCCATCCAGGTCTCTTGTGAGATGCCGGGCTAATCCTTGCCTTTGCTGCCGGTGATCCGGGATTGACTACCGGTACATCATTCGGAGTCCTCTTCATCTCAAGCCTCTTGTGGCTATCTTCCGGTTCGTCTCTTGGCACACTGCTACCGGCTGGAACAGCTGGCTCTCCTGTAGCGTGACATCTTTGTCTTCCGGTACAACCTTGCGCTTTCTCTTGTGTTCTTCAATTCGCTGATGTCCTTGTTCGTCGTCTAGCATGAGCCCCAAAATCCTCGCCCTGCATGATTCCAGATGTGGCAGGACAGTGGACTCACGTAGCAGCACACATGTGCAACCCGGACACCCGTCCTTTGATCCATACTTCTCCACGTTGGCCTTCCTGATGTCGATTCTCCTTTGCTGGGGTGGTGCCATGACGTGGACTACCGGTGGTGGAACTGCTAACCTGTCCTCACTTACCAGTACTTCGGCTTCACCAGCCAAGGTGCCCCTTGGCGTACCTGGGGCGCGCCTTGCAGTGACCTCCCTCGGAAGTCCCTTCAACTGATCCGTCGAAAATCCAACGGTCGCACTCGGCAAGTCTTCGGATGACAGTGCCTCTTTTCACTCCCTCAGCGGTCATCACTTGGCGTGATCCTGTACAGCCATGATCTATGTACCAACCTTCCTTGAGTGGTCGGGCTCCTTCATCTACCTCTCGGTGGCACAGCCTCTCGCCTTTTGCGATGGCAGGATTCCTCCAGTTTCTCCCGCACCCTCCTATGTTCTGGGTGCGGACATCCGGCCCCTTCCGGTATCGGCACATGAGGTCCGCCGCGTGCCTGGGTAGCCACGACAAGACCGTCATCCGCACGAAGCACTCTGCCAGTTTTCTTGTCGAGTGATGACCTCAGGATACGTACCTGCCTCTTGGGCTTGCGAACGGCATTCTCTTCTTCCGGTCTTCTTCTATGTTGCTGGCCTTGCCTCTGTGTCGGCTCTTCCGCCTCGGCCCTTGTAGCGGCCTCTGGCGCTCTCACAATGGCCGGAACGGCCATCTCTACCTCTTCTTCTTCTCCTGCACACGGCATCGTCTGCCGCTGTCATGGGCTGGGCCGGACTTACACCTCTGTGGGCTGCCGCCCAAAATTCGAACGGTCCTGTCACACTGCACCATTGTCCTGCTTCTCCAAGACTGCTGTTCCGGTCCCACCTCCTCCGTGCCTTCCTTGACTGGAATCTTACCCTGCCAGGTGGACGGAGCTGCGACTGTGTCAAGATTAAACCTGACCCATTCACACGCCCTGGGGGCTCTCTCCAGCGGTCAGTGCACCCAACTCAAACATGCCAACAGCCTCTCTTGTACAAAGATTCAAACTCAACGTCGGAAAAGTAGGGCGATCGAGGAGGCAGGCGAGGTGGTACGGGCTTCTTCTCCTTCACCTCTCTGGCTCGCTCTCAGTCGATTCCTCCTCAGCTGACTCCTCTGACCCGCTGGGAGGATAGGCCGGAGGTGGTAGAGGAGGCCGATCTTCTTCTGCTGTCTCCCCTTCTCTTTTACCATCTTCTTCTCCTCCTTGCAAGCTCCGGCCTTGCCGGCCGTTTGTAGCAAAACCGGCGGCTTGGGCTTTGGTTGTTCAAGCTGTCCCTCTGCAGCACCTGATTCCGGATGGCCGTTTCCTCCTCGGCCTCCAACCCGTGTCCTCCTCGCTCCTCTCCGGGCAACAGCGGCTCAGCTTAGGCGATAGTTGGACGCAAGTCCGTCCGGGCACTGATCAGCCCAGCTCTCACTCGCCTCAGCGCACTCTCCTGCGTCAGCGGATGCACCGTGATGATCCGCCCGAGCGCCCTGACCTCACGGCCACCTCCGGCAAACCCTGTCCCTGTCGGGGCTGCCGGTTGCTCCTCAGACGAGGAGCTGGGCTCTCTGCGGCGGGTGGAAGCCCTTTGCACCCTGCGCTTCTTTCCGCGAGCGGCTTGGGGTTCTTGGTCTTGCGACCAGTTCAGCAGGCGCTTCTTGCTCCTCAACCTACCTCCCGAAGCGCTCAATCTCCTCGCGCAGCGAACTTCGCGGACTGCTTGAGCAAGCCTTTGCGCACCCTCAACTGCCTGCTCACCTGCTCCTCCTCCGATCGTGGTAGGTGGTCCGGACTCCGAGCCTAGCTCTGCTGCTGCCAGCCTCCGGATGCTGCTCTCTCACCTCGTCCGGATAGGGATCGTACCTGGGCTTCCACTCACCCCAATCCGAATCGTCCGAGACTCGACCGGGGTCGCTACCTCTACTGGGTGGACGCAACGCTTGGCACGCTGAACTGGGCGCTGCTGCCCGAGGGAGCTTACACGGGCGCTCGGCTGAGCTGGCTCGTCTGGCGACCAGTCCGGCGATGTGGGGAGCCTCCTACTCCTCCTCGGCCTTTTCTTCGGCCGGTTCCTCTGCGGCTTCTTCTTCTGCCGCGGCTACAGCCGCTGGAGCCTGCCGGGGGCCTTCCCGGCTGCTCCTCTGCGCCAGGGAGGAACCTCACTGGTCCTGGACCTCCCGCGGTCTTGGCGCCCTTCGCACCCTTTGCGCCTTTCGGCGGTGAACCGAAGTACCAGATGCTCCTCCGACCTGGATCAGCACCGGTTCCCGCTACCATGAAAAGTAACTTATTCAGCTCTAGGTCCGCTGCGGAGCGGACTTTTACTTGAGCCAAAACACAGAGTCGCACAACCTGTACAAGCGTATTGGGCATATATGGAGGAACAATTTATTACTCGTTCTCCGACGGAAAAAAAACAGAATCAAATGGTAGTGCCAGCTACCAGAAGACTCCTAGCGTCCTTCCAAAGATCATGGAAGCCCAAACGACGGGTTTTGTCTGTGGGAACACTATCGTCACAAGTAGCTTTTGCATGCTGAAGATACTCAGCCTCTTTCAGAGCCTTGCCAATTTGCGGATGGGAACGCTCCATCCACTCCCTTTCTGCGTGAGCAGAAGCACCTGGCGAACTTCTTGGGGGCCACATGTCAGCGATTCAGGGGAGACAACCTATGCTGAAAACCTGTCCAGTTCGAAAGTAGAATGTTCTCTCCATGTTTGAACATCGAAACCAAAATCAACACGAGCCCAAGCCAAGCCAACCACCCTCCACTTTTCCCCAAAACCCCCCCCTACCCCCACCAGCCACCACCCGAGACTTCCTCCGAGCGGCGTCTTCTGCGCCAGGCGCTGCACCAAGGGCAGCGCCTCCAGCAGCACGCGCTCCGCTAGGACCAGGTCCCCCAGCAAAATCTGCGCCGCGCCCAGGTTGTTCCTTGCGGTTTGAGGGAATCAGCGGAAAATGACCTTCCCGCAACCCTGGTGAGGGAGGTCCATTTTTCAGAATCCCTGTAACCCTCTTTGGGTTCAAGGTGAGGCGGGATGTCTTTTCTTTGGGGGGTATAGTCTGTTTGGGGAAGCCAAAAGATTTCAAATTGGACATCACCAGTTGGATGGTCTATGGGGGTCATTCCAACTCATTCCCTGAGAACTTCCAAGTTTTGGGTTGCTGAGAACCAGTTGAGATTCCCTAGGTACAGCAATTTTGGAGATGGTTTAAGGGAATCGCTGGTTTCCTAAGAAATCTTTAAGTTCATTCCCAAAAGCCGGACTGGGGCATTCCCTGCTGATTCCCTTGAACCATTTTCAAAATTGCTGTTCTCAGCAACCCAAAACTTGGAAGTTCTCAGGAAATGAGTTGGAATGAAGCCTATAGACCATCAAACTGCTGGTGCCTAATTGGAAATCTTTAGGCTCATTCCCAAAGCCCGGACTGATGCATTCCCTTAAACCATTTCCAAAATAGCTGGTTCATTCCAACTCATTCCCTGAAAACTTCCAGGTGTTGGGTTCCCTGAGAACCAGTTGAGATTCCCTTACAGCAATCTTGGAGATGGTTTAAGGGAATCGGCAGGGAATGCCGCAGTCCGGCTTTTGGGAAGGAACCGGAAGGAGATTTCGAATTGGACACCACCAGTTGGATGGTCGGATGGTCGATGGGGTTTCCCACATTCCCTGCTGACCAGCAAGTTGAGAAATCCGGGCCCAACACCAAGGTTTAAGCTCAAAGATTTGCTGGAGGTCAATCTTTGTAGGGTCCCTGTACCCGTCCTTGAGTTCAGGGTGAGGGTTTGAGAAGGTGAGGTGCGCTGGGGGACATGACTGACCACTTCTAGACAACAGAAAGGGTTTCAAAAAGACTAACCCCCCTCACAGACGTGGGGAACAAACCCCGAGTGATCCCACAACCCTGGTGAGGTGGGAGGTCAATTTGTTCAGGGTCCCTGTAACCCTCTTTGGGTTCAAGGTGAGGCAGGATGTCTTTTCTTTAGGGGGTACAGTCTTTTTTGGAGGCTGCCTTTTTGGGGTCAAGGGAAAGGGAAACTCATGTGAGCGTTCCCCAAATTTAGAGACAAACCCATGGTCAACAACAGGTTTGGGCTTGGGAAAAAGGAAAAAAGAAAAACGTACCCATCCATCAAGGGCTCAACGATGTACCGGGGAAATGGTGCCCGATATTCGTATGAACAGCGCCCAAAATCCGGAAAGCTGAAACTTCCAAAGGGCATCCAACTGTCCATTGTCGTGAAAGGATGTTCCACCCAAGTGGGTGACAACCATAACTTGATGATATGGTAATATATATATATATATATGTATGTCCACCAACCCCTGCCGCAGAGCAAATCAGCACGCGGTTCCCCAACCAAAAGCAAGGGAATGAGTGGGCCCCTGGTTTTTGGTGGGAATGAACATCGGCTCCATTAAACATCACGCTGTGGTGTCTGGAACCACCACTCGTGCTCCAGCGGACATCCTTTCCTTTTCCGGAAGGTCCGGAGTTCCATCTGCAAGGGTCCATAGCAACATCCTCGATGCGTTCGCCTGATGGTTTAACGAGAAACCAGGCAAATAATTTGGAAAGCCGTCAACATGCTCACTGGCCCTGTCCGGATTTGACTTGTTGTCCTGCAAGATTCGATAACCCAGTAACAAACCTGACCGTTGCAGGATACACCAAGGAAAGCTTCCAGTCTCGTTTGTCCAAGCCACTTGTCCTTCTGGCTTTGTACAAAACCGCAGAATGGATGCGCAACCCAGCCTCACCTAAAGCAACCTCTCGCAATCCCATTCGGCCAAACCTAAGCCAAGACCACCCAAACCCCACTCCCAAACCACTTGCACCCGGCCTCCCTGCCCAAACCCTTCCCCCAATTCCCCCGTAACTTCCCCCCTAACTTCCCCCCTAACTTCCCCCCTAACTTCCCCCCCAACTCCCCCCCCCAAAAAAAAAAACACCTCCACTTCATTTTCCGCCGCAGCGGCCACAGCAAGGGGTTCTCCGGCGCCTGCTGCAGCGCCCGCTCCCAGAGGTGCGCGGCACGATAGAAGTCCCCGAGGTGGAAGTAGGCGGCCGCCAGTGCGTTCAGCAGGTGCGGCGGCAGCTGGTGGTCCTTCCGGGGCGCTTGGGGTGGGGCACTCGCTGGGAGGGAGGGGCCTTGGAAAAGGCCCCGCTTTTTGTTTTCCTTCGGGGTGGGACGTTCACAACCTGAGAAACTGGGCTTTGGGGAAGCAACCATCTGGGCGAATGGTCTGGAGGTTAGAGAATATCATAGCATTCGGTTCAGACAAAAGAGGGGGTTGAGTCCCAAACCGTCAATCTGGGCCAACTGCGAAAGTTTCAAACAAGTGGATGAATGCCCTTTGCTTTCCTTTCGAACCACCCCAAAAAAACAGGTACCCCAAAAACAACATTGCCATTGGTTGGTGGTTTGGAGTGTCATACCGCTTGCCATTTGATTCAAATCAGGGGTCTGAATCCTCCGAAAGCCACCGATCGGGTCAAAACACGAAAACATCATACAAACCTGAGAAAAACCCAGGGGACACACCCATTATTTAGTTTTTTGTTTGAACACAACCCCAAAAACGGATCAGGGCAACTTGCGATGGTTGGGTTTGTCTCAAAATGGCGAACCCCAGAAATGGTGGGTTTCCTTTTTGCTTTCCATACACAAAATGGGTGCCCTCAACAAAGAACGCACCCAATTCACACACCGGAGAGAAGGACAAGGGACCTCTTGGGCGAGCTCGTCTTACCCCCGTTCGCCACGAAGAGTTGGACTCATGCGTGTTCAGTCCGCGCACCGGCGAAGTGAAGTCAAACACGGAATTGCCAAAGACCCTCACCCGGTGCAGGGGAGTGCCGAGTTGCATGTGGTATGTCCTTTAGGGTGCGCTTGTTGGGTTGGTTCGAAGGAAACGAAGGAGAAATCACCAATTTGAAGGCTCCCCATTTGTTGATTCCACAACAGCTAGACTTTGAACCCAAGGATTCCCCTCAAAGGGGAACCTCACCCGAAAAAGTACTTCACCCTCCCAGGTCACGTCGAGCCCTCCAGGCGAGTTCGCCTGCATTGTGATGCAACAAAACATGCCCGAGCTGTTCTGCATTCTCCTACGCATGTTGGTCTAGTTGCACATTTGAGTTGACAACAGTAACATGTTCTCAAAATGGACCCCCCTTTGCCCACTCAAAACCGAGCAATGACAACAGTAACATGCCGTTTGGTTCCAGGAGGGATATCTCAAAGGGTTGCAACCTTCACACCTCACCTGCTCCTTTTCCCGAAGTCGCCGGGTTTCGCCGCCCGAACGCCAGGTTTCGCCGCCCGCACCCGCACGCACCCCGGCCTCCCGCAACACTGCGACGGCCTGGCACGAGAACGACCAAGCGTTAACCGGGAGGAGTCCTTGGTGGCCACCGACGACTTTTAGGTCAAAAGCCGAAAGGGAAACTGAGAGCCTCTCATGGGAAAAACCCATCTTCATCCTAGGATCAACCGGCCCCAAGCTCTTGGTGCAAGAAAGGGAAAGACTTGAAAGCAGCGGACTGCTCAGCTGACAACCTGCTTGAATCCATTTGACCAGTAAGAATATCAAACAGATCATGGCGCGGCACAAAGTGAGGCTGTAACAGTTTGCGAATGCGGAGAACTCGTTGGGTCAGCATGCGAGTCTACCGTACCCTTCGTTCCCCTTGTGAACTGAAATGCAGGCAGTCAGCTCCACCCCCTTGCCCCGCAGAAATCAGATCCCTCTTTACAAAAGGGGCGGATATGCACTATATGTTCTAGGGCTTGATTCCCCATTCTTTTCAATACCTGGTTCTTTTCAAAACCCGGCTGTTCCCCCTGGATTGTTGATGGCTTCCTGAAAAGAAGGATGCCTGGAAAGAATGGGGAAGGTACCCCTAGATATGTTTATATAATGAGTGTTGGTGAACTGGGCAAGTTCGCCAAATGGTCAGCTACAATGGCTTACACGGTGTCAAAAAGGGGGGAGGCGTGCGGGGGCTACGAATGACCTAACTCCCGGAGCATCCAACTACGCCACTGAAGGGAAATTGCCGGATCCCAAACGTCCGCAATGAGAACAACTCAAAATGCAGCCACTGGAATTCCCTCTCAAAAAGCTGCAAAGTGTTTTCCCATGAAACCTCAACTGTTGTAGGTCCAAGAAGATTGGAATTCGAGTGAGCTCTAACAACATCCTGCACCTTACTACCAAGGGCTTATCGCAGTATTCATAGGGTGTCCTCTCCAATCCCAACTGGTGCGAACTGGAATTTGCCCATCCGTTATGCCTTTATATTAGTGGTGGTCCTTCAAGTCCCTCTGAAGGATGCATCGGAAAATAAAGAAAGAAGGACAAATTAACGGAACCAGCGATAATATGGATGTGTCGCAAAACAAGGGAACCCTGATGTTTGGTTTCGTTTTGATTTCCCTTGAAATACCAACCAAAGAGGGTTGCCCCCAAATAAAGCGCTAGAGTAGGAGGGGGGGGGGGGCAAAATTGGTTGGATCCTTGTGGTTTTCCTTCGAACCAACCCCGCAACGGGGCATCCTCAAAAACCAAACCCACATGGGCTATTCTGGCATTTTCCAGGAAAACCTAAACAAATGAAAGGCAAACCACCCATGTTGGGGGGAACACCCAAATAAAAGCCAGACATTTCTGGAAGAAAAGCACCACCCGTTTTGCTTCGGAAGAAGCCCCATTTGGCCATGGGTCAAAAAGGCCGTACCCCCAGCGAACATCCCAATCCCCACTTTAAAATAGGTTCTAAAATGGGTGGCGAATTCACCTACCCCAGAATGAGTATCCCAAAACGGTTTTGACCACCACAGCCATTTATTGCGACCACACACCCAGCCCCCCACGTTCTTCGCGCCAGCCGCGTCTCTCGTCGACCGCTCGTCCGAAACGAAGCGAAGGCGCCGAAGCCGCGAAGCCGCCCGCGGCGCCTCGTGGAACTCCTGGGCGCAGACCAGCGCGAAGCCGCGGTCCCGGCGCACCGCGGAGAGCTCCTCCAGGGCCCTGGAGCCTCGGTCGGGGGAAACGCCAACCAGACACGCGCTGCACCGAAACGGGCGCACGTAGAAACCCACTTTCTCGCTATTTGGGTTATATATTGGGGGGGGGAGAGGGGGGTGTGGGGTTCTTGGGATTCAAAGAAATATAAACTCTTTTGGTGGGGTGCGGGGGAGATTGGAGTTCCTATTTTAGGGGATTTTGGGGGTTCCCGAAATCGTGGTCCCCTATTGCAACGGCTTCCTGTTGGTTTCCCTTTAAATACCAACGAAGTGGGGGCCCATTGGTTTGTGATTTTTGGGCAGCCTTTTTGGGTTGCTTTGTACGGAAGCCGAAAGGAACTCGCCGATTTTTGGGGTTCCCCTTTCTTGGGTGGGCATGGGGACCATGGGGTGGGCAGGATTCATGTCCAACGGCTTTTGAAGGGAAACCCTATGAGTTGTTATTCGCCTCAGGTCTGATTCCGGTCCATACTTGATTTACAATCATTTTGGACCTGGGACCCCATATGGCCGTTTTTCTAGGTCATACGAGTCATACGCCTTGTTTTGTTCAACAACATGTCGAAAACATATGGGCTTCATACGGGTGATTTACACAAATGACAGAAAAATCATGGCCATACGGGCAATACGGCCAAATACGGGAGTTTTACAAAAAAAACATACGGAAAGAGAAAAAAAATACGGGGTGCCAGGGAGACCCTAGTTTATATGCACGGATACTGGCACTAGAGACAACTACACCTCCTGCACAGATTGACAGGGAACTGCAAAACCCATCGTTTTAGAGGAGCCCCGTTTTGGGAAAGGACCCCTTTCTGGATTCCTTTTGGGATCGTCAAGCGATTTTTGACGCGGGGTTGCCTGCAGGCGCTGGAGGTTATTTGGTGGCCCACCTTGTACTGCACACAGAGACTTCGCAGAACTGCGAGCTTCAAGCTGCATGCAGTTGGTGGTTTTCGCACAGCGGGTCCTCTAACGAGTTGTGGCGACAGTTTACCTGCACTGTATCACAAACAAGGCCAAGAGTCAAGCAGCTCGTGCACCATAGTCTTTCGCCACCCCCGGTCAATTTGACAGCAAATCAAACCGGACCCGAAGGAGCACACTAGCGATTTAAAAACCGGGATCCTCTTCGATTCTCGGGTGTCTATACCGGTCCAGTGCCCATCTTTGCAGGGCTAGCAGGAGTCCACCCAAAAGCAACAAAATAAGCGTGGGCAACCAACACAGCCCGAAAACTATCTGGGCACGGGCCAAAGTTTAACAGGGGAACGCTGGTTTAGTCCTGATTTCCATATACCGGGGTTCCATTTCGGGCGCACATTTTTTACCCACAGCCATGGCCGGATCAATTTCAGGCGAGGCGCCGTTCAGCGCCCGCTCGCTGCGGAGGAAGAGGTCGGCGGCGCTGCGGCAGTCGGAGACCGCCAGCTGCAGGTGGCCCAGCTCCCGGAGCCTCCGATTTCGGAGAGCGGCGACGCGGCGACTGGCGAGCAACCCATCGGATTCAAATCATTTCGATTTTTGGCAAAATGACTCTGTTTCAATTTGCTATGAAGATTCAACTGGTAGCCGACCCCCAAGTAACTGGCCTTGAGAATGGGAAGTTGAGTGGACCTATGCTATGAAGACCCAACTGCCCATGCCCCACCGAAAAACTTCGACCCTTAGTGACGTCGAATTCAGCACAGGAAGCAAGAAACCCCGATCCTTACGGGTAGCCGACCCCCAAGTAACTGACCTTGAGAATGGGAAGTCGATTGGATCAAAACTCGCAAGTCCGGTTTGGCAAGGTTGCAGCGGCGAGAGAAATCCACCACAAGGTGACACCTGTCTGAATCGCCGCTTTATCCTCCTTTCTGATTCCATGCATGGAATCTGACAGAAGCAATGTAGAACACGAATAAGTGAAAAGGTACGTGTGTCTTGCTAAAGCTTCCGAAACCTGCATCTTGTCCGCCTTGGTTGCTTGTCGTCTATCATGTCTCGACTCGCTAGCTTGCCCCGCAAGGACTAACCGAATCCCACCCACCCCTTGGACGTTGGCAACATACTGAACATGTCTGCCTGATGGGCTTTGATTCTCCTCGCCGAAACAACCGGCAACAGCATGGCTCCTGTGTTCTACAAAAGGGCCCCTCTGTCCTCAAGTCACCAAAGAGGGAAAGTGGGGTCACCCAAGGGCCTCCAGGCACTCTGCTGGTCATGCCTGGCGCATCGGCGCTGGGCTTCTCGCTTGACACGTAAAGCCCACCGGCCGGAAGATCGGATGGCCGCACTCGGATCATCCGACCCCCGAAGGTGAACTATCGCTGGATCCAAGGGGAAATGAAAGCCCAAAGAACCGAAAGCTTCTTTGAGTGCATTTCAAGGTGCCCTTACAAGATTCGCAGATCAACTGTTCAAGCTCATAGCCGCTTAAAGTCAGTCGATGAAGCCTGAGAAGGCCTGCAAACGATTCAGCGGCCCAGATCGTTCATGTCCCACGCGCAAGGTTGCAAATGATATAGACAGAAGCCCCAGGCGTTTGTGCCACCCGGAGTAGAACAACCTAAGGATTGTGTCTAGCCTTGTTATTTCATTCTTCACAGCGCGGGAAACGATTCATGCCCCCGGTTTCTGGGGAATCTATGATGCCCTCTTTTGACATTTACCTTTACCGCCCCCTTAAGTCATTTAGGCACAGAAGCTTTCCCAAAAGGTCGCCTGCCGCCCACCCGCAACTATGGCAATTCGCCTGGGCAAGTCGCTGGGCTGCAGGTCGCGGACCTGAAAGACGAAGGCCCCAAGAAGCACCAAGACAGAAAGAGAGAGAGAGAGAGATAACAAAAGAAAATCAAAAGAAGAGAGAGAGAGAAGGAGAGAACGAGAAAGAATGGAGAGAGAGCCAATGCTCTGGATCAGGGGGTAAAATGGACGTAGAAACTGCCACGGAATGGTCATGTGGCGAACAAGGCAAACACGTTCAAAACAAGGCGTAGTTGCGGCGCAATTCAACTGCCTGAAATACGGATCCTTGAGAAAACACGTTCGAGGGTGAGCTTTCCCTTGTGTAGTGTGCTATTGATCCGGTAGATATCAGTCGAAGCTGACTAGCGTCGGGTACCTTTACTCTTCTTCACCAACCCCATAGCTGATGTGGTCCCCTGCGCGTCGGGTCGCTGGACGGTCAAACTCACTGCAGGTTTGCATCATGGGGTGGTCTGGAAACACTCCTAAGGATTGGAAAAGCGATCAGCTGGTGCAGAGCAGGGATGGGGGAAGAATCCTTGCTAAAGGGTTGAGGATCTCCCCTCTTGTCCCGAATCAGGATCTTTGGACCATGTCACATCTGCCCTTTCAATAAGTATTCCTCAGCCAGCACCTCCCACTACCACAAGCAATGCAGCCGGCAGCCACCAACAGCTCCCCATCTGCAACTTGAGTGTTCGGCCTCCAACAAACATACAGAAGAAATGTCATGGACACCAGCCACAAGTATTTCTACAGGAACACAGCCAACCACTCATCCAAAAAGTGTCGGCTAATTCATGTTCTGCAGAGATTATTGTGGCCGGTTTCTTTAAAGGCATATGAAACCAGCCAAGCCTGCCAAAAAATAGACAAGAGCAAGCAAGCCCTTGCGCGACACCGCAAAACCCCTGTGCCTCGGACAGCTCCCGTGCGTCCGGCAGATCACGGAGGAGGTACAGAAGCCAAAGGGCCGCCAGAAAGACCCAGGACAGTCTCCTGCTACACCGAGCTTTTTGCTGCCAAATTGTCTTTGGTGGTTTGCCCAACACACTGCTTCGAATCACGTTGCCGAATCATGTGCCCGAGCCAGATCTTCAAGTTGCCACAAAATCACCTTTGTCAGAGCCCAAGTATCCGAGCTGTTTTTTGTTGGCTTGACTGATGACACGGGTGTGCTGTAAAGGCGGTTTACCAGGTGGTTTACTCATCTACCAGGGCCAACTATTTCCCCCAAAAGGACACGGACAAAACAAACAAACAAACAATAGAGCAAACAAACAATCAAACAATCAAACAAACACGCACAAAACAAACAAACAAACAATTGAACAAACAAACAATCAAACAATCACACAAACACGACGAGCAAAAACCTGATTCAAACGCAACTAGCCATGCTTTGCAAACTACTACAATGACATTCGGAAAGTACGAGCAAATTGATGGATTGAGAAAACTAACAAGTCTGAAGCATACGGCTGCCTAATTTGACAACGTAGATGTGTCTCCAACAATTCTATCCTCTCGCAGACAACAGAACTACCTCAGACCAGGCAGGGGAGTACCCTCCTCGCATGCTAGTTTTGATTAATGTTTGCAGCCCGACTCATCACGGGCAAACATTACACCTGATAATGCTTGTATCTTCTTCGTAGGGCATTTCTGCATGGCTTTCGGTAGTAGTGGAACTTGTTTGGGGCTGTGGAGGGATGTGAGGTAGAAGCATTGCCTGCAAGTTCCACGCGTGCCTTTTGTCCAACATGCGGTTTTATCAGAGTTTCAAACAGTCGTAGCCGCAAGCCAAACGTACACTGTCTCAGAGGGCTTCAGTACATTGGCTTCAGATTTGAGCAACTTAGCTGCGAATTCTGCAAATCACCTAAGTTGTTGCACACGGTTGATGCACGGCGCTCCTCCGAATTCTCTCTTTCCAGCATGCCAAACAAGTATGCGTGTCGCAATGTTCACCGCCAGGTGCTGTACATACCCGTGATGCCTTGGTTGGCCTCTTTTATGGTACTCACAATGGCTGCTGGCAGTACATCCTCTGGCCACTAGGCAGGGTCGGATGTTCTGCATCGACGCCCTGTTCCATGCGCGATCTGCCTAGCCACTTAGCAAAGACACCAGCCATTTCTCCTCGGTCTCTTGCAATATTCTGGAAGCAAGGATGCCTGGAAGGAATGCAGAAGTACAAGCACAATATGAGATGGGCACGGCGGTGTTTCAGCCTTGCTCAGCGTAGATTCCGAGTCGTTGGATTTTTCGCTGGGGCGTTTTGTGCTCTCTTGCATTCAAGTGGATACGTATGCAAGTGCACGAAGGGCTCATCCGTGCAGGCAGGATTCATCCACCCCAGGAAAACATAGATGTTAAGCCTGCCTCCACCAGATTGCCATGGCTCACAAGAAGCACGTTGCAACATCAGGGACTTGTCCAAAGGGCTTTCAATGGCTGGTGCTCCTGAAACCATCCAGGGAGGTGACTGGGATTGCCGAAAATCGCACAGCTCCTGCCGCAGAACTCGGGCTGCGTGCTGTAAGCCTGGAAGCGGAGTTCAGGGGCAACAGGCTCATTGGGCTGATACCAGGGGTCAGTCCCATACGTCATCCCAGAATTCAGGGGATTTCCATGGTATCATAGAAAGTGGCAACCCAAAACCCTGCGTTCCAAAATCACTTTGTGGCCAACATGCGTTGGTGCGGAATCGATTTTGGTCTGTAGTTATGACAAACTCACCGATGGCAATGGTACAGTCACAAGTGGCTGTTTGATATGATGACTCCCCAGTCTTTCATCCATGTGTCCAGCAACTGCAAACCCTCCCCAAGTTGAACTATTCGATGGAAGTACCTTGTCAGCCACTGAAGGTATTCCAGGCACCTTGCCTAAGGTGGGAGGACGAAAGGTGCTACTCTACACCCCGACTGGGCAGATGTCCTTCATGTACCCCAGATCGCTCCATTCTTCAACTAGTCATGGATAGTCAAGGTATCTTCTTTTGTCCACCTGGCATCTGTGGTCTGTCTCAAAGCACTCCTCCAATCAGAAAAAACAGAGACCTGCGGGGGGGAAAAAAAAGAAGAAAAAAAGTTATGGCCTATCTCTGTGGTTTGGCCTTCGTGTGTGTGTGTGTTTTTATCTGGAGTCTCCCTACACATCCGGATCACTCCACCGGTCCACCGCTGTCCCGGCCGCGCCTCGCGGACACTGAAGCTCGCGAGCGGGGAGGACTCCTCGGTTCGATGGGAACCCTGTCCGAGGTGCTTTTTTGGCTTCTCAGGGAATGAGGGAACCGATAAACCATGCCCTATGTTGTTGTTTTTGCTTAATATCTTTATTTATTTATTTTTTTCCCGAAGGGGGAGGAATTTCTGAAGGTTCCTTCCCAAAGCCCTTTCTGGTCATTCCCTGAGCAGCAACTTTGCCTGTGCCCAGAATCTGCGGAAGTAGGGCGAGATCACAGTTGATTGCGGGATGATTTTGATGGTGGAATAATGGGGCCGTTCCACTACAGCCCCAAGGGAAAAACGGGGCATATATCCCTTTGTATAGTGGGTTCACGTTGTGGTTTTCCCATACCCTTGTAGGTAGCGATGTGTGAGTAGCTGGTTCTAAAGATAGGTCTAGCTCTATTTGGGGAAATCAGGTAGCAATAGCCTGCCCCATGTTCCAGAAATACAGCTAGGTCCATGTGTTTGGCAACAAAGGAGACAAGCCTGTCGGAGCCAATCTGTTCTCTGCGTGCCACATTTCACAAAAAGGCGTAGGTGTCCTAAGGTGTGGTAGAGCTTGAAGCGCATGGCTTCGTGTCAAAATAGGGGGAACCTCCACATGGGTGGTTTCTTTGAGGTGTCCTTTTGGTTTCCCTTTAAAACCATCCCATCCCAAAAAGGATGGCACTATTAACAAGAGACACACCAACAAATAGCCATATAGCACGAACAAGCTCCCAACAAAGCTGTAGCGAGGGTGCATAGAAGCATAGATAGTCCTTGAGGGCTTCATGGGGACCAACGACGCCCATCAATCACTAGGCCGAGACCAAAGCACGGGCTGCATTGTTCAAGCTTTTCAAAGCGAAAGAGTCACAAGAAATCAAAAGGCGTTGCTCACAAAATCAAACCTAAGTCCTTCTTACTGGTTCCCCTGGTGGTCTACGGCCTTTTCGGATTCGGGATCCCCCCATTTCAAACACCCCAGTCTACACTACAAACGATTTTGCTCCTACACGCAGAGCCAACCTTAGAAAAATCGGCGGCACAAGTTGGGAACCCCTCGGCCACCTTCCCTCAGAGAGCTAAGCGAAATCCATGCGGAAAAACGAGGCGAGACGAACTCGAGACGAACATGTCATCTGATGTGAATGGCCTAGATCAACGCCACCTGCACCACAACGACAAACCAAAAAGCAACCAGCAACAAACAACACAAGCACAACAACTGCAACAGCCACAGCCACAGGCACAGCCACAGCAACAGCCACAGCCACAGTCACAGTCATAGTCATAGCCACAGCAGCAACAAAAGCAGCAACAACGGCAACGCAACAAAATCAACGGCAGCAACATTAGCAACAACTGCAACGACGGCAACGACAACGACGACAATAACCACAACATGGTGTCTTCCAACCGCCACGTGTCCCGTACCAGAGTCTTCTCCGGTTCCGCTTTGACGCAGGGGCTGACCTCCTTAGCTCACTGTCGCTGAACAGGGAGGCTCTCAAAATGGATGCCGTTGTAGCGTTGGTATTTGAAGGGAAGTCAAAAGGAAACCAACCATTTTAGGGTACCCCTATTTTGAGAAACCCCCAGATCAAGGGGTTTTCTTCCTGAGCAACTCAGTCAACATTACGCAACTCACTGGCAAAAAGCATCAGCAGCTGACGTCCTCTCATGACCCCCAGCATCCCTTGACATGACCGGACATGCTTTGACATTTGACAGCCATCAAGCCCATCCTACAAGTGGCAGCGCCTCATCCATGCAGCAAGCTTTTTGGGCCACGCACAAAAACCAAGACATGGGACAAACGATCGAAGCTCTCCGCATCACGAGCTGCGATAAAAGATGCTATGCTTTTTGTTTCGCGGCAACAGCCATGGGGTTTTAGCCAATCTCGTCTTTGGGGTGGTTTTGGGGCACAGAAGGTTCCACGCTGTACGAGATACTCCTTGGGCTTACTTCTTGGACTGCGGTTTCGGCATCTCTCAGGCGTCCTTGCATGCGCCAAGCGTCGGACGCAGAGCTCTCAGTCGAAGCTTTGTCCTCGGTGCTGACCTCCTTGGTGCTAAGAACTCCGCTTGCAACTGCTACACTCGAATCGCGACTGTTTATATATATATATATATATTGGCTTATTCATACCATTACTCAATTGAGTTTATACAATCAATCAAATAAATAAACGATTCAAATTCATTCAACTTACCTATTTCGCTTTGTTCCCATTTTGGTCTTAGTTCACGTCATGCCCTGCACACACCACACCAAAGCGTTTGGGCCGTTTCTCTGGGATTCCGCCAGGCCGCGCTCTTCGCGCTCTTCTCCGGCTCCGGGTCGGAGCCGGGGCTCAGCTGGGCTTCCTGGAAAGCCACGGAAACATTCTGTTTGGAAACCGATCACTTGAGACCCCAAACAGTTGTGGAAAACATCATGAGTTCCCCCATCTCTTGCTGTATGTCTGGAAATGGCAGGCCCCCCAGTGCTTCTGATGGTTTACATTCAACGCACCAGAACATCTACCTGGAGAAAGTTCCTATTCCGAGACACCCCCATTCAAAACACCGCCCCCGTCTGCACACATGGAGTACCCTGTTTGGGGCTTCAAAGGTGCAAAGGAAACCGATCACTCTAGGAGTCCCCAAACAGTTGTGGGAAAATTGAGTCATGACTGTCCCCATCCGCACAACTCAACGAGAATAGAAGTGCACAAATATCTTTCCAAAAGCAAAGGGGTCTTCTAAAAGGAGCAACGCAGTCTTCTAAACCAGCCTGCGCACTTGCGCGCTTTTGGAAGAGGACGGTCACCCAAAGCAGGGTGCGACAACCGCCTGTTTCAACATTGTTACACCCCACTATTGTTTGAGCAGTGTGTTTTCGCTATCCCTTAAAGGTATAAACTGACCCTACGTGCGCCAAGCTGCGGGGGCGGGTTGCTCAGACAGCAGCTGCCAGCCCCACCTCATTCTCTGAAAACCGTTCTGGCAGGGCAAAATATGATCGATTTGCAAGCAAACGGCACGTTATTGCAATTCCCTCACTGGAAGTACGTAAGAATCCCCAAGTAAGATTCGGCGAATTGTGCTTCTCAAAACCCTGGCTGGCCCTACCATGTTACAGCTGTTCTTCCCAGTCGCGCGACTCAGACGAAACCTGCAACAGGCTTGCGAACTCGTCATATAGACTTATAACTTATAACGTAAAAAGATGCAATCTTGCTGGTGCACAGCAGGGAATGAGAGAATGACCCACATACACCATGCCCCTATAATTTCCTTTAAGGGAATCTGGGGATTCCCTCAGTCCCTGCTTATCGCACCAGCAAGCAATCTTCTCAATAAATATCTTTGACCACCTCTGAACCAACATGGAACGAAGCGGGCATGGCGGGCGCCATACGTCGCCGGAAATGCGGCAAAGGCTGAGCGTTGAACGGAAGAGAGAAAAGCCTCTCTCTCTCTCTCGCTCTCTCTCTCTCTCTCTCTCGCTCTCTCCTATCCAATATTGTCATCTTCCGCCTGCAAATGCAAATACTTGCTGCCACTTGCTTGCGCGTTTACGCCTCAACGTCGTGTCAGCAAAGATGGACAAATGCTTGCCTTAAGCCGCCCGGAGCCGGCGATTTAGAAGATGTGGCGCCTCAAGCAGCTTGACGGAGCCTACGTCGAAAGAAGAACTGCGTACTGCGCCAACCAAGACACAACCATGGCCCAAGTAAAGCAATCGAAACCTGAACGAAAGCTTGGAGCGGACTCTGGGGAGCCGAGGCATCGACGTTTCCGCAGCCTTCTCTGCCTCCTCGCGCGCGGAGGCAGACTTCAAGGTGAGGGCCGTTCGAAATCCAAAGGGTCCGAACAGAAGCCGTTTGATGGGAAAGCATCTATCTGGATCTCGACAACCTGCCGCATCTGCCCAAGCATCTAGTGTCTTGGAAGGCCCTCAAGCTTTCCCCAACCACCTCCCGAAGGAGCACAAAAGAACAGCCCTCTCACTCAGGCGAGATTTCCCTTTGTAAGCCCTTTCATGGTTGAAAGAGTACTTATTGCCGTAGCTTGCCTGGTTCCTTCCGGAGGTGCGCGAACGAAAACATAGTTGGTACACATGCCCCGTGCACGGTCTCTCTGTTGTCCGATGTCCACAAAAAACACTGGGCATCCCTGCCCACTGCCAACGTGCTCGGATGCCATAGACGGGGCGGGAGGATGAAGATCGATTTCAAGGGATGTAACATGTTACCTGGCTATTCTGCGGCACCAAACCAGAAAGCAAACCCTCAAGGAAAGGAAGCCACGAAATGGCCCCTGAAGGAAGCCAACCCTCAAGGAACTAAATCCAGAAATGGCCCCTGAAGCATCCCTTGATCGAAACGAACCTGCCCCGAAAGGCGCCCCCGGCCTTCTGCCGCATGCGCTGGCGCTCCCGCGGCCCCGGCCGCGCTCTGCGGCCTGCGCGCCGCCGCGCCGCGCGCGAGGGCTGGTGGCTTGCCACGGGAAAGCCCGGCCGGCTCCGGCGGCTCTTCTGGAACGCGCCAGTGGCCGAGATTCCTCGTCTTTTGGGGGGTCTATCGGTCTATCTCCGTTTTCTGGGGAAGCTTCGAGGTGGAAAGTCGGGGGGAGCTGCCGCAGGCAGTCGAAACTTTTAGACGACCATTTTAGTTTAAGAATCTGCCGGTGGCAAACATCCCCAGGTCTGCATCACGAATGTTCGGCTAGGGCTGGTGTTGGGCGAGCCCTTGCATGCTGCCACTTGCGAGCTTGCCAGAATTAGATGGGAATAGAAGTCAAGCGCCATGGCTGTGGGAAGTAACCCTTGCTCCCCATGAAAGCCTTGCCCCTTGGGGCTCTTTCGGCGTCACCAGAGGCAACCCAAAACCCGCAAGTGTCCAAAGCCATGACTAGCTCCAGCGAAAATGGGTTGCTGGACTTCATTGCAAGGGCGGCTTGCGTCCACCAACCAATTTTGTGTTTCCCGTTGAATCCGCAATTCTAACCCAAGGTCCAAGAAGAAGCCCGCCCAACCCCCCCCCCCGCCCCGCAACGTTTTCGGCCTGTGGTACCTGTGGCATTGGCTGCAACGCCGTTGGCCCCCAAGGCGAAGCTGGCACCGGCCAGCTTCAAGATCTCCTCCTGGCGCCTGCGGAGTTCAACAGGGATCCGGATGCAATGAAAAACACCTGAACATTGCAACTTGTAAATGGTGGTGTCCCTTTATTTTGGTGGAAAAAGCAACATGTCTCAAATGGTTGCAACATGTATCTTTTGAGGAGCCCTAGCCCCCAGCAAACATCCGATTCAATCCAACCCGAAAAGTAGGTTCTAAAATGGGTGGTGAATTCACCTACCCCAAAATGGGATACCATTGGTTTTGACAACCACTGCCAAATGACAAGAGAAATCGGACCACCCACCCAGCACCCAGAAACATCCCATTGATACATTGGGCTTGAATCACCCAGAAGCAACCCATCCATAAACTGCGGATTCGACTCCAACATCACCTCCGGAAGACCCCGCTGCATGAAGCCTTAGCCCAAAGGAAAAAAGCACCTCTGGCACCCTGAAGTGGATGACACCGACCAGGGTTCTCAACTCATAACCTACCGGCTTCGCTCAAGAAGCATCCTCAAAATTACCGCCCCCTAGTAGGTTTGCAGGTAAAACCACCCCAAGAAGTAAGTTTGAGAACGGGTTTTCTCAGGGACCACGTCACACCAAACTCAACCCTCCCCCCCGCCACGCCAAACCAACCCGCCCCTCCCTCCCCTGGCCGCTGGGAGAGCTCCAGCTGCTGGAGGTTCTGGGCCAACTGCGCCAGCTGCGCGCCCACCGTCAGCAGCTGGGCCTTCGGCCGCGTCCGCGCGCGTCCGCGCGCGCGCACGTCCGCACGTCTGACGGACGGACATTAGATTGGGTTCGTGCGTCCGAGGTGTAACAGTTTAGTGGGAAGACATGGAGCCCTTTCAGGGAAATGGGCACCACTGGACACCTGCCCTTTGAGTGGTACTTGAGTACCCTTTTGTTGTTCAAGTTTGCACAGCCTCCCAACATCGCCCCGGTGCTGGCGATGTTGGTGATGCCCAAAGCTCCGCCATGAATGCCAATGGCTCCCTAGGCATGGAACCCAGAAAAGGCATCCCCAAAGTCCTCTACAAGTGGTGGTCTTTTTTGGGCTCCATGTTGATCTGCGGTGGGGCAAGTCGATGATCGGGAAAAACACAAGTGGCCCCCTTACATGAAGCTTGTTTATCAAACCGGGACCCCAAAATGGTAGATGTCCTACAAAATAACTCCTGGTCATGTTTGAGGTTGCTCCCTCACCCTACTTGGGCCACCGGTGATCCAACAGGACCAGCTACATCTCCTGAGACCAACAGAATAATGATGTTTCAAAAAAGTTTTAACGGGCTGAAGAGGGAAAAAGTGGGAGCCCTGAACGTATCCAATCCTTCCGTATTCCGTAATACAAGTGGCAGTTGAACAGTTTACTAACAGTCTACTCCTCCATCATCGGATATCCTGATCTTACTCCTTTTATCCCAACAAGGGCTGGTTTTAGAGTACCTCGCCCTGAGTCATACTCAAAACCCGGTACTAAAATGGTCGACCCAGAACCATGCTTCAAGAATTAAGAAGGCGGATATCCGCAGCTATTTCTGGTTGGAGATTGTCCCTAACCTTCATCTGCCCCGGTTTTGAGGACGTGACTCTGAAGGCCTCTCCCCGCCTGGGTCGTCTGCATCTGCTGCTCCACCAGGCCCAGGCGGCCGTTCAGCGGCCCCACATCGCTCCAGTGCTCCGGGGTGGAGATGCTTGGGAGGTCCTCCTGCACTTCCTCGCCGCGCCGCACAGAAGCCGCTCTTGGGGCCAGACAAACACAGTGGTCAAAAGCAGGGTTCCACTTTTCGAGCCCAAGATAGGCTTAAACCCAGTTCTCCTTTTGGGGGAATGAACCCCTGGGTTTAAGCCTATTGCGGGGTAGTCAAAAAGTGGAACCCTGGTCAGAAGACGCTGCAACAAAATACAGGTCCAGCATGGTCCTCGCGAAATTCACATCTCCACCAACACCCACTCTCTTTTGGGCCTTGGGGTTGACTGCTTTTTAGCAATGAGATACTTGACTTCGCAAAGGGCAAGCTTGGTGCGTGCTTCGTGTCAAAATCGGGACCCGGACCGACAAGTGGCTTTCTTTTTGGTTGCCCTTTCAGCCGACCTAAAAACGGATGCCCATGACGCACGCAAACCTGGAAAGGGAACCCGTTTCGGGTCTTATGGGGTTGACCACAAGAGTTAAGTGAGTGGACTTCCTGAAAGATCGAACAAGGTTCCACGAGGGTGTCAACTGCCCCGAAACCGCTTCCCCTAAGGGAACAGTTGGGGGGGGGTTCTAAGATGGCTCCATGGAGTCAATAGATCAAGGAACTACGCTCTCAGGGTCAAATAACCAAAGTACCCCCCCCCGCCTGCCTGTCATGGGAGAATGATGTTCTTGTAGTTATTTAGCCCGAGGAACTAAAGGCACCACCACAAAGGGCAGCGTGCCGACTCTGGGCACCCAAATGCCTGGCTTGCCAGACGAAGCCCAACCTTTGAATGCTGGCCACCAGCGACTTCCAACGCCCCAGCTTCAAGGAACCCCAAAGGGACGAGCTTCACCTCGTTTGCCTCTCCGAACTTGGGGCACTCCTCCGGGTCGGCGAAGATCGAGGGGCTCATGCCCGGAAGGCGAGGCGCGACCCCGCGGGCACAGGTTCCACCACGGCAGCTGGAGCCAAGCGCGCGAGAAGGCAGCTTGCCGAGCCCAAGCTGCACCCCAAAACCGCCACCCTTAAAGGGGACTCATCATTCCCCTTCAATGGAGGTCTGCAGCTCCAAAAGCGGAAGTGCTTCGACATGTTGCGTCCTTTAAGTGACGTGTCCCTCCCAAATATATCATGGACTATCGCAGTGTTGACTGAGCCTGTTGTGTGAAAACAACGAAATGTAGATCGGGCCTCTAATGTCAGTGTCTGCAAGCTGCCGAGAGCCCGGGCCAGCAATCATTGACTGGAAAACAGGCGCCAATGCAAAGACGTTCATTGCAGCCTGCCCACGGCTGAGTTTGTACTAACGCCTTCATCTAGGTGTTCGTGCAGCTGCGTGAGTTCGAATGTTTACCGAGGACTGTTATAGAGCGCCATGATTCGCCCCAGATGCTTATGACGAATTCAGTTGCTCAAGGCTTCACAAAGTCCCTTTCCGAGGTTCGCTGTCACCGAGCCAGCGGTCGAAGGCAATTACCACACCTCCACACTGGGGCTCCAAGCAAGCACAAAACCCCAATGAAACGTCACATGGCCATGGGTCAAAATCCACTACCCCCAGTGAACATCCCAATCCCCACTAAAATAGGCTCTCAAATGGGTAGTGAATTCACCTACCCCAAAATGGGATCCCATTAGTTTTGACAACCACAGCCACATGAGCGTCAACCAAACCCAGTCGCTTTCGGCTGAGCTTAGGCCTCGGCCAGCCCTGAGATGAGAAGGCCTTGCTCCGCTGGTGATGCGTCATTGGCAGCGGCCAGTTGGTGACCTGTGTCCGACTGATCTGGCACGTTGGCTTGCGCGAAGTCGTGGTTCAACGCCCACAAATTTCGGACCGTCCGAACTTCCAGGGTTCCCGTGCCCTTATTTCCCTCCGATGCAAAATCTGAAACTCCAATCGGTGTGGGAGGCTGAAACCAATCTCGCCTGACCCGGGATGATATGTGCCGAAGTTGCCAACGTTTGTGAGACCGGGAGCTTTTGGTGGGGAGGGCACGTGGATGCGGGCAGGGTGGGGGGGGGGGGGGGTGGGGGGGGAGGATGTGGATTGCGAATGAGGGAAGTACAGTAGGTGTTTGATCCAGCTGTCAAAATGCGTGTGGGCGTCGATGGACAACCCTTCCTCAGCACATGGAGCGTTCTTTTCAGGTCCGCTTGAAAGCTGCGAGGATACAAAGCACAAGTCGAGAGCGCCTTCACCTGTACTCTTGGCACACTCAGCAAGGCCCACGAGCGCAAGCGATGCTCAAAATCAACATTCATGTCGTGGATTCGTGGAACGTTCATATCGCGTTGCTTTGGCAGGTTCAACGCGCAAATGTCAAGGGTTTTAACTTAGGCACTGACATTTCTCCGAAAACCCTCAAAACAACCATGCTTTTGTATTGGAGGCCATGCCCTTGACTGTGCGCCTTCGCGTAAAAAATCCGAATGAAATCTGCACCTGTTGCTCCGTTCTTTCAGCACGTTTTTGGCACCACGCCGCCCATGTTACCACGCAGTCTCCGGGAATCACCCCAGGTCCCAACCCTGTGCTTGTGTGGGAATCTTGTGAAGCAAAACTAGTGAGTCCCCTGGTTTTGGGGAAATCTAGAGAGTCCACCAAGGTCCCTCCCAAATTGCATGATATTTGGACCGAACCTTACATGCTGATTGACAAAAATGATTGCACTGGTAAGCGGTCAAACCTACCACAAGGTCCCTTTCAGAGGAACATGGTCTTCCAGAAACCCCCAATCAGGTTCCATATGGGTGTGGCTCAAGATTAAACAGGAGGGGTTACGCAGGTTTTGGGGCAGGTTTCCACTTACGAGGGTTCCATTTTGGTACCGGTTAAGCCATATGAACAGGGAGGGTGAAAGCAAACTGACACCAGCGCCATCTATTAACCTCCTCCACACCTAGTACCTATTAAGTACCTATTACCCACCTCTATTACCACCTCTATTATACAACCCCACCAGAAGCTACGCTTTCGACTTACGCCCTGCCTCCGGCCAGGTGGTGTTCTCTGCCTGCCGAGTCGACATGGTGCAATCTCTCCCCCGCGTGGCCCTACCGCAACTGAAAAGGCAAAGGGGTGGTTCCCAGCAGGAACATAGCTTCCAAAACCCTGCCAGGGTCATGCTTCTCCAAACAGAAACAGTAAACAAATGCACGCCGGATTCATGCTGGACATCCCAAGTGAGAGGAATACGCGCAACTCGGGATCCTTTGGAGGGCATCATCTTCTGTGGGATCCATGTGGGGGAGGGCGGGTTCTATTGAAATTAAATGTAGCGCCCCCTTTCATGAAGCATGTTGCCAGAATGAAAATGTGTGCAAAATGGCTGGTTAATGGAGACCAGGATGCCAACAAGGTCTCCACACTTTGGACACACCTCTTGGACTTTAGGCAAGCTTTTGAACATGTAGCTGTTGCCGTTGCAGGTCAGTATACCTGGTGGATTGCGGCTCCAACTGCGTCACATGTGCATGCTTCAAACATGCAGCGGGTGAGGAACCACAATATGGGCGTCGTTTTTGAGCGTACCCTTCTGTTGTGGCTTCAAGCGGCAAACCGAAAGGAATACCACCATCTTGGGTGGCGCTAAGAAACGCCACACTCTGAAACTCTCGCAAAGCCGAGCATCATCCACAAGAAAAGTGCCTCCCTGCCTCTTGCGTCAAGGCCCGCGTGGCCAAGCCAAGGAAGAGCCTCAGCTTGGAAGCAAGGCAAGAGACTTGAGGAGGTTCGATCTGCTGGTCTGTTTGGTGGACATCAGTTCCACAGCGGCGACGCCTGACTTGCTTCATCTGTGCGTGTGTGAACTGTCCTAATGGATGCTTGTGTGAAATGAGTTGGTTTGATGCCTGCAGACTTGCCATTCTTGAAGGTGGCCCCATTCCAAGCTTCCAATGAGTTGGCAGGGGCGGTGAGGGGTCCGAGACCCCGTCGGATTGACCCTTAGTCCGGGCCTTCGGGACCTTTAACTATCACACTTGCTCAGTGGTTTGTTCGGGCCAAAATGAACTCCAGACGAAAGCCATCGGTGCGGTTCTTTTTCCTTGCCCACCTACCGCCCATGGCCCCCTCTGCCCTCTTTGCCAACCCCCCCCCCTCCCCCCCCCCCCCGCCCCGCCCTCCAACCCCCCGCCCCCCCCCCCTGGCCGCTTTTCGCAACCAGGGGGCGGTGCGCTGTGGAAGCCCGAGGTGTTTTGGAAGATGGCCAGGCGCCCAGTGCGGGAGCGGCTGTTCAGGCCTCGACACGCACCGGTAAAGCGGGTCCCGCGTTTTCGAGCCAACCAGCCTACCATGGCGGGGCGAAGGGGCGAAGACCAACGTCTCCCACCACAAGATTGTGATTTTGATCGGGATTGGATTTACGCTCACCAATCATTTGGGAGGTTTTCCCCCAATAAGATACCAAGCCACAACAAATCACGAAATCTGCGCATCGACAGGACCGACCGACCAGCCAGCCAGCCGACCAACCGAAACCCCAGCGCTCCGTACCCTGCGGGCAGAATCCTGCACGGAAAAGACTCCTTAGGCGCTCGGCTGTCAGGCCTTCCTAGCCTTGCGGCTTCTGGAATTGCTTCGTTCTGAAAAGGCCATGCGCTGCATGTGTTGTGAGAGAACATATCAGCATTCCTCTGGAATGCCCAAGACTTTCTAGCACAAACTCTTCCTTTGTACATCTGTGTGTATAAATACATATATATATATATATCTATATATACATACATACATACATCTATATATATATATACACATGCCCGATGTTGGTTCGATATTCTCAACCACGGCAAGGGCATTCCTGGATGCCGCAACCAAGAGAAATGTGACGAGGCCGCAGACTCAAAAAGTCCTCGTCTGTGGCTTTAGGTCGCGATCGACCCATGCCATCTTGGCTTAGGGTTGGAAGGGGGTCGCAAAAATTCCCAACTCTTAGCAGTTAAGTGGATTTTTTGATTTCAACCACTAAACCACAAGAAGCAAAAATGGGAAAGATGTGTCCCAACAACAACCATGCCATGGTCGCCCATCAAAGCAGAGGCTGAAATTGTTTGGGCCCTCGAGAAACAAGAAGCCCAAAAGAGGCTCGCTTCCGGATTCCCACGCGTGCTAAGCATGGAACCTTCATGAAAGCTGTTGGATGCGGGACTTCACGTATGTGTACACATGTCATGTGGAAACTCCACTAAGACCTGGCAATGAGTTTCAATCAGGAACACCCTCCAACATGGGTGAGCAAAAACAATCCCCGTATTAAAAACATATCCCAGCGGTCCAACAGACTGACTCTCATACGCACTGGTTAGGCACAAAAAGAGGCAGTCCCCTGTCTCCCCCAGAGGACGCTTGGGCTTCGGGCTTTCCACGAAAACAGCGCCGTAGCCTTGGATGGTGTGGGCTGTCTCCCAGTCCAAGCCAAGTGGGCATGCGCCAAACTGGGGGGGGGGGGACCAAAACTGGTGGTTGTCGTTTTGGTTGTCCTGCCAACCAAGCCGCCAAAGACCAGGTGGAGGCATTTTTTTCCTGGCAAACCGTTGTAAAGGCAGTGGAAGGGGCCATGCCCCAGCTCAAGGCGTTGCTTTTGGGATTTTGACCTCGTTTGGCTTTAGTTACCCTGCTGCCCAGCGTGGAACTCACCAGAGGGTCCCTTCTAAAGGAACATTGTCTTTCAGGATCCCTCAAGTTCCCTGTTAGTGGACAGGAGGGTACTTTGGTTCAGTTTTCTTACACGCGAATGTTTGGTTGCGGTTCCAAACAAAGGGCTGCCTCTTCTTCTGGCGCAGGCCAAACCCCCTCCGCTCAAGACGGTCTACAGGCAAACCGCGGTTGGCATGAAAGGCCGGCCTGCTTCTCTTGACCCCTGATTCTGGATGGTTACGCTCAGAATCAGGACCCAGAAAGCCGGCAGATGCTGGCTTTTTGTGGTCCCAAGATGGGTGCCTGCCATGCTGTTTGGAAATTCTTTAACCTTGGCGTTTGTTTGCTCCTTCCACCCT